GGAAAACATTTTACCGTAAAATGCATTCCGTGCCTTCCCTCAGTCCAAGCCAAACAGCTGTCATTGTTTCCCTGCGGTCCAGAACGAGTCATGGTCACAATGGGCAGTTTTGCTCTCAAAATATGTAGAGTTTCTCTGGAAAGGACAGGAAGGTCTAAGCCCAATCAGATGATTTACCAGGCATCCCCTCAATTCTCTGCAACGGCGAGAGGTTCGAGTTGGCGATGGCGCAGGGCGCTGCTGGTGTTCTGGTCCATTCGTCAATGGCACCTGGTTCGCAATCGTCACTGTGGCATTTTCTGGGCTCTGACCCTTTGGAACCGGCAGCTGTCCTCGAAATTTCAAGAACTTCCCAATCCTCACTTTCCTATCCCCAAAAACATGATTTCGCGAAGTTCTGATTTTGCTGCGCCAAGGTAATGTGTCGCATTCCCAAGAGATGATCAACTCCTTATGCTCTTCAGTCCTTGCCTCAAGATGCACACAGTCCACAGGTCCATACAGGTCCTATCAGGTCCTGAGCCCTGCTGTCACTGTGACAGAAGAAATTGCGCCAAGGAAAACCCGCAGACTCTGCAGATGGCATGACTTCACGCTGTGCTGTGGTGCGAAAAAGTGCTTGCTCAGATTCTTTGCAAAATCCAATAGTTGACTGTCGCACACCCAAAGAATTCCAAACACATTGTGTTTGTATTCAACCCGACAATGTTTGAGTGCCATGCGTGTTCTTTCTTACTGTAAAGCAACGTAGGAAAGTGTTGGCTTAGCCCCCCCAAACATCCTGCTGGCTTTGCAGGCCCATCGGAAGTGTGTCACTCACACGGCCAGAAACTAAGTCGACTGAGGAATTAGTCTTTGCAACAAACATGAGACCCCGCGAAAGTTTTTTGCTGAGTCCGCGAAAGGAATTTAGAGCAACCGCAATATAATGCCATATATATAATATAATATATATATTTATATATATTATATCCTGTATATATATATATATGTTATATAAATTATAGCAAATCGGCGAAGTTGATCAAAGCAGATCCTTTCAGGTCGCAAGCATCCATTCTCTCCCAAGTCATCATGGATCATGCAGCTGGGTCGGACCGATCTTTCCCATCCGCCCTTCAAAAATGTGTACCCTGTGGTCATTTAACATAGCTATTGAAAATTGCCATAGAAATAGTGGATTTACCCATTGATAGCATGGTGATTTTCCATAGTTATGTCAACGTTTACCAGAGGGTATCTGCAGTGTCACCAGATGCCACCAGGACATTGCTCTGATTGGCGAAAAGGGCTCAGGGAAATCTACTTTGGTGAGAAGCCCAGCTGGATAGCTGGATTCGCTGCTGACACGACACCTGTCATCACCAAGGTGAAGGCGTTCGCATCCATCTTGGGCTACAGGTGCAGAGTCCATTCCTCCATAAAATCGACAATCTGCAGGTTGATTTGCACTGGGGATTCCCTGACATTTATATAATTTTCTATACATTTATTCCAGATTTGGATCCTTCAATCCTTCACCCACAGTTTTCTTGGTCCATGGCTACCTGGCTACCTCAGTTTCCCCTCAAGGTTGACTCCGTCCCAGGACTCGCGACATCTTCTGCTACCGCGACATGAGCTCAAGAGACCTGCTACAACACCGTACGCTCCTGGACTAAGACGTCCACATTCGATTCATTCTGGGATGATGTTTACAACAAGGCCATAACAACATATCACAGCCTCAATATGAAATGATGACAGTACACGTATTTATTGTATATATATAATATAATAATATATATATAATATAATATAATATAATATAATACAATATAATATAATATAATATAATACAATATAATATAATATAATATTATATAATATTATATAATATTATATTATATTATATACTATTATATAATGCAATATAATATAATATCATATAATATAATATATTATAATATTATATAATGCAATATAATATAATATAGTATAATATAGTATAATATAATATAATATAATAAAATATAATATAATATAATATAATATAATATAATATAATAATATATATATATATATATATTATAGAGACTATATAGATCATCGACGGGTAGAAAGGACAATTGACCCCAACATGTTGTCAAGGTGCATTTTCAGTGGAAGTTGCGATCCATTCGTCATCTCCCACGGGCTCAGGACTGATCCTTGGGGAAACACGGCTTGGGCGGACTCTCCATTGGTGCAGGCTGCGATTCATGGCGACTTGGCGGTACTGGATGGCATTCATCGTTTGGCCAAGGCCGACATTTCTGCCGTAAGGCTGACAACCTGACATGGGTATGGGTCAATACCTATTAATACCATTTTTATTGGGATGAACATCCATTTACCAGCTATTTTGATGTTCACCAGGGGTACAAGGTTTTGAGACACTGCCACATCAAGACTGTATGTGACTGCAAATGGGAGGACACTTTTTCGATTTTATGCCTAATTGGAAGCAAAAGGGCCAATAAAAGATCACTCCGTGCGAATACATTTCAACATATTTCAACCAGGACGGTTCGAAAGAAGTGGATCATTGCGAAATACTTGTCGCTTGCGGAAAGAATCCTGGACCTGGAAAGTAGATATGTAGTGTCTTATAGCAACACAGGGAACAACTCAAAACCAGGCATTTATTGAGTCTGGCAGGATGTGTAGTGAAATCCAGAGGAAATGAGGTGTCTTGAGAGGGGGAGGGTCGTTCGAATTTTGTTGCGGTCATTCTTGAGCCTTGCGTCGTTTGACGCGGCTTGCAATGCTTGCTGGAACTGTCCGTTTTTTCGAGCCATTGCGTGAGACATGGGTAGATGATCGTAGATGACTATGCTGCCTATGCTTGTGAACCTGGGGTGATGCTATGTTGCTATGTTGCCTCAACGCCAGGGAACACTTTATGGCGCTTTGGGACCTCTTTTGGCAGACCGATGGTGCTCACTGCCAGATGGAACGCTGCTCACCTCAATCACTGCAGATGGCACAAGCCAAGTTGCATACGCTGGAACCTCTGGGATGAACAATAGATGGACTCTGTGGGGCGGTATGGGTCAAAAAACACAGATTTATTGAAATAGCATTTTGGGGTACACGACTTCATACTTGTACTATATATATATATATATATACATAAACCAACGGGATACGCACAATTCTCAACTCTCTTAGTCCACTCTTGTGTGCGTGGCCTTCTATGCTTGTTTTGCATTCAAACTGGGAGGCCCAGGCTTGTCCCATTTTCCTTCTCAAATCCTGTTTCAAAAACCTTCATCACGCGGTTTTTCTTCATTGTTCTGGAACGCAAGCTGAACTTTTTCTTTTCCCGGAAAGGCTTCTCTTCTCTGCCAGCCAGTGGTCCACATTGATGAACAGAGGCGAGTTTTCGGGATCGAGAGATCAGTGTCCACTTTGCCGCTGCCTGCATCGCAGGTGAGAAGGTGAAAGCAGCGCTGCTGGCCTCAGGAGCTCGGAAGGCAAGCACAGTGATTTGGTGTACAGAGACCATTCCCTTGGTGTTTAATATATATATATATATACATATGTATGTAGATGTTTAAACATGTTGCCATGAGACACCGGAGTGTCCAGCAGACTCAACTGGGTCTGATAGAAAGCAATGTTGAGAATGATGGATTGATCATTTTTTGTGGGACGACACGCATCACGGTGTCGTTGGCGGCAGAGTTGCCCTTTCACCTAGCCTTCGCTGCATGGCCTTGTTGCAGGTCAGCCCTGCGTTTCGAGTGATCGCCTGTGGTGACTTGCCAGAGCTAAAGCCTCAGGGGTCGAGATTTACAGATTTCAAAGGCAAACGTTTCAAACAAAAAGGTTTCTTGAACCTGAGGCCTTCAAAGCCCGGCATGTCTGGAAACTGGATCGATGATGAGGCGCTGGAAACTGCATACATTGGCGAAGTTGACTCTTGAAGCTGGACAGGTGTCAACGCTCTTCAACTTTCACGTGCTGCTGGACCTTCCATTTCCTGAACTGCCAAGCCCTTGGCACTGCTGTTCTTAAGTAGGCTGTGCCAAGCCCCGATTTCTTTGCCAATCCCTTTCTACCTATAGTTTCAGGGCTTTGACCTCTTCTCACCGAAGTGCACTGCAGAGGCGCAAATTGGTTGAGACTGTTGCCTCCAACCACTCGAATGCTGACAACGAGGAGTCCATGAGACGTGTTCAAGGCAGGCATTCAGATGATGCAGCTCAGCACAGGCAAAGCAGCGCATCGGCAAGCTTCTTTCCTTCAGCCTGGTTCTCAGATGCTCCCAGACTTTATTCCCCAGAGAGGGACAACTGTTGGCTTTTTCTTAGACTTGGCACCTTTGCGGCTTTCGTAGAGTCTCGCTGTTGCTCCTGTGGAAGCTCACGGCTTTGATATGCGATCAGTCCCCAGGGCACTTTCTTAACGGTAACGCGCGGGGATGGGACGAAAACATCCAAGTTTGATTTGAACATGCAAACATGTTTGTCTGTTGTAATGTCTTCTCAGGCCAAGCGGTAAAGGCTGCATGCAAGGACCCTGATCTGAAGCCACTGCAGCTGAGTACAGGGCCCAGGAAGCAGCTGACCGGAACTGCCAAGTGCGAAGTGCTGGTTGACCCAGGCCTGCGAGCTTTGTTGAGGACTGCCAAGTGCAGGGCTCAGCAGCTTAGCTCAGAAGATGTCAGATTCTCGATGTTTATTGCCAAAATTGTCGGCTCGCCTTCGAGCTCGAGGCTTTTGGCAAGCCAGAACGATTTGGCCGGTGCACTTGTAACGCCCTCAGTATGATACAATGGATGAAGTTGCGATCTGAGACCTGAGACCTTTTGAATTTCAGCCTTCGAGTCATCGTTCAATTCTCCGAGGATAGAGCTTTCTCAGCACGCTTCAAGTTTCTGGAAGCCTTTCAGCGGGTGAAGGGCGAGAAGCTCCTTGCCGAGGTGGGGAAGAAGTGCACATTGGATGCCACTAAGCCTTTACAAATCTTGGCAGGCCGGAATAGAAGCCTTGGAGACCACTGCAAGATCTGCAGAGTCTTTTTCCCAGACTTTACTGTAGTATATACGTATTATACTGGATGATAATTTACGATGTATACTACCAGTATGCACTATCTATAGATACTGGTATCATCTGGATCTATGTCTATGTATTATACGCACATGCAAATATAGACTTATGCTTTCTTTGCCATTGACAGTACTAAGGTTGTCGCCCAAACAATTGGACTGCTTGCGACGGAGTCCTGCTCGTCCAGAGCTTGTTCCAAAGGCCCGTAGTTTTGGCCTGTTGGTTTCCGGGAGAGGCGGTGAAGAAAAAGTGCAGCCGAAGGTGCAATTTGTGCAGATCGCCAACCACCTCGTGGTGCTGTGCCTTGCTCAGCAAGCGCAGCCGAGCTCACTGTCCTAAGCTTCCGAAGCTGAGCAGCTGAGCTGAGAGGCAGAACATGTTGGCCAGCTGGAGTGCTGGGCAGTCTGCAGCTCAGACATCGCCTGCAACACGATCCGAGAAGAGGCGTTTTTTTCAGGATCCGTTGACGGCAATGTGGTGCTGACATGAGGCACCTTTTGCTGGTTGGCAATCAGGGGGTCAAAGTCTCAGTATGTGAGCTTCTTGTGTCCCTGAGCCAGTAAAGATGTATACTCTGATTGGTTGGTTATGATATTTGCTATTATGATAGTTGATATATAACCTAGTTCAATGGGGATTATGTATTATAACCCATATTACTATAACCCATGATAGGAATACACATCAACCAATGCGATAGGGCTTTTTTGGCAGCGAGATGTTTGCAACCGCTGTTTCTGTAAACATATGAGAGGTGGGCAAGAACAAGCTTGCTGACCATATGCTGTCGTTGCTCTGCTGCGAACGTGAATATGCCCTGCCCTCAAATGCTGCTTTTTTTTTGGGGCGTCTAATCAGCACTCTGTCACGTGCAGTTAGGGCACCCAGATGTACCCAGAAGAAAACTGATGTTTTGAAAGGTCCAGCTCCATCGAGACACTACGCTGCAGAGTCTGACGGTGACGCCAACCCTTCAGGCTTGGACAGTTCCAGGTGACGTCTAGTCACTCACTCTTATCCTGGGTCCTGGTTTGTCAAAAAAATGTGGATAAGCTGTTTTTTCATGTGTTTTCCCCCCCCCCATGGGTTTCCCATCAGGTACCATACGAGACTCGCTCGGCCAGGCTGGGGTCGTGTCTTGGCGAGACTCGGCGCTTCTTCGTGCTGCCAAAGCAGGGCGATGCGTGGTGGTGGATGAGGCCGATAAGGCTCCACTGGAGGCGATGGCGTTCTCCGCTGGAGAACCCCCCAAATTGTGGAGACTCTAGCGATGGAATGGATGGAATGGATAGATGTTTTCAACATTTAAGTTATCAATGCTTGCTCGTTTGATTCGTTTCTTTGATGTTTCATGATATGCGCTGAAAATAGAGTGTGGAAGCCTCAAACTGGTGTCATACAGGAGTTTCTTGGGAACTAGTTTGAGCTTTTATGTTCAAGTTCAGATGCCTAATTTTGATGAATTTTGTATTTCATCCTACCTCAGTCAAGTGTCACCGTAGCTGAGAACTCTGATGTTGTCAGGTGGTGTGTATCCTGAAGGCGGGGTTGCGGGGGTCAGAGGTTGCAGGGTTCCCCGGGTTCCCCAAGCAACAAACCAATTGAATCCAATGCATCTAGCAGCTCCAGTAGCCCGGAATTGCCAGGAGAATTGGATAGTTATCAAAATGATCAGCATTTTATTTGGTTTTGATGTTTTGATATGTTTTTAGGAGGGTAATTTAATCTGTTTTTTTTTTGTTTTTTTTTTTTTGGTCCTGGCTCCTGGTGGCTTCTGTGGCTTCTGTGGCTCCTGGTGGCTCCTGGTGGCTTCTGCGGCTTCTGTGGCTTCTATGGCTCCTGGCTCCTAGAGCTCCTCGCTCCTATGGCTCATTTATCATCTATCGATCAATCTATCAGTGAAGCATGTTCACCAGGTGCATGTTGTGCATTAGATCTATCTATCTATCTATCCATCCATCGATCTATCTATCTATCTGTCTATCTATCTGTCTATCTATCTGTCTATCTATCTATCTAACTATCTATCTGTCTATCTATCTAACTATCTAACTATCTCTCTATCTGATTCTATCTATATCATTCTATATCTATCTAAATCTATCTATATCTATCTATATCTATCTATATCTATCTATATCTATCTGTATCTATATCTATTTCTATCTATATCTACGTATCTATCTCTATCTATATCTATCTATATCTGTATCCATATCTATATCTATCTATATCGATATCTATCTATATCCATCTATATCTATCTATATCTATCTATATCTATCTATATCTATCTATATCTATCTATATCTATCTATATCTATCTATATCTATCTATATCTACGTATCTATATCTGCGAATAGAGTGTAGGCTACGGAACACTGTACACTCCAACATAATTCAGCCCTCAAGGATCCACAGCCAAGGGGTACGTCAACTCGCCCCTTTGGCTCAAGACTACTGCAGGAACCGGAACAAAGAATCGCAATGCCGAAGCCGCTACCCGTGTGACGTCACCACTGAAACACCCATTTCAGAATCAAGTACCAGAACATAATCGGGGAGACAACCTCCGATTCTCAGGTTATCAGCCGTAGGACTCCTACGGAGCCTACGAGCGGGTAGCCGCGGGCCTTACAGATGATTGAACAGGATAGCAGCGATAACGCATTTTCCTTTTCTGGACATGCCGTTGCACCAGCTGCCGGCACGCAGTCAAATTCTTCACAGAGTATCGACACTGGTGGAAGCGATGCCTCAGAATTGAGAACAAGCCAACCCAGGCGACATCTGGTTGCTCCTAGAGGGAGACAAATTTCGACAATGCAAGCAATTGAAGATAGGGACAGCACACATGGAAAGAGAAGATCATCTGCACGACAATTGTCGCCTCCGATGACTCCAAGGACTAAGGCAAAGACTACGTCGTCGAATCCGCCTTCACCGATTCAGGACGCTACCCCATCAGGGACAGGATCTTATCAGCAAGTGAATGCCCCGTCAAGTGGTAGCGACATCTTCACTGCCTATCAGAGTGAATTAGCTGAGTACAAAACATCACTGGAAAGGGCCACTGAAGAAGAATCTGTACTTCAGGCAAGATTGAGTGAGACGACAGCATATGCCTATCAACAATTTAATTTCTTGGAAAGCACCACTCATCAAGAGATGATGTCGATGACCGAACAACTCCAGATGCTGAACTTCGAGTTACAGGCTGCACAACAAGAAGATGAAGGTGCGACCTACAGGATCGAAGAGTTGGAAAGGTATCAGACTATGTCGAATGAAGCTGCATCTCATTTGGAATTCAAATATTCACGACTACGTTCGGAATTCGATGAACAAATGGGACAAGCAAACGCAATTATGGTGCATGTGGGCGCTGATGCGAATGCTCACATCAATCAACTCAGACTGGAACTGGAAAACGCAGAGATGAATGCCAAGCAGGAAGCTCTAGCGGTCGGCTATGCTAACGACCAGACATGTGCTTTACAGATCGAGATGCTCGAGGTTGCTAATCAGAACCAGACGATGAAGCACACCATGGCCATGAACGTCAGGCGACTGGAAACTGAGCTCGATGCTGCTGACATGAAGAGGGACGAGATCATGAAGGAGTTCCGTAGTAACATAAGATCTGAACATGACCGTTATGCAGAATGTGAACATCACTTAGCTTTGGAAGAATCGCAACTTCGATTGCAGGTGATCCACAGTGAGAACTTACAATCTCGACTAGCGATTTCTGAGAACAGGGTTTCTGAAGAATCTCTAGCTGAATCAGGCGGCATGCGGGACATGAGGATAATGGGACTACGTTCTGAACTACACATGAAACAAAGTCTTTTAGATCGAATGCAACAGCAACTGACTGAATCGAAGAATCAGTGTCATGAACTTTCCTGTCAACAAGCCAGAAGATCATCACCAAGCAGATCACCGCATGGAGGACCTCTCTATGAGATGTACATTCAAGCCGTGCGTGAACGTGACAGCTTGAAAGAATCCAAAGCCGAAGTTGATAAGTTGTACTTGCAGAACAGATCTGAACTCATTGACACTGAGGACCTGCTCAAAGTCTTCCAGCGAAACTTTGATGAAACTGGTAAGAAATATCAAGATGCTCTGAACAAGATCGATCACATGAGCAACAATCCGAATGTGACGAGTAACTTGTTCGACAGTTTGCACAATGAAATCAATGACAGGGACACAGCTATTGCTCGCCTTCATACTGAACTTGAAGCCCAAAAGGACTCTCTTGAGCGTGCTCACAGGGATGCAGGTAAGTCCATCAAGATGTTGAACGACAGAAGACTCGTGATCAAAGGTGCGACTGACTATTCCATTCCTGAAAGCCATTTGACCGAGATGCATCAATTGGCCAATGAGCGTTACGCTGAGGTAGAAGAAATGTCGAGCACCATTGCTGCCCTGAAGTTGGAAAACCAAGCTCATTCTTCTTCATCAATGAATAGACCGACTACATTACATGGGTACCCCAGTAATGCCATGCCTCGGAATGAATGTGAAGAGAAATGTGCCAAACTGAAAGCAGAGTTGGACGAGATGAAGCAAGAGAGGAACGCTGAAGTTCGAAATCTTCAAGATGAGTTGAAGAAGATGGAAGATCGTAAAGATTACTATAAGAACAATTTCTCTCAAGCTGAAGATCGTGCCAATGACGAAGAGCAGGAATACCGAGCAGAAGCTGAAGCCTTCGAGAAGCTCAGGAACGAGTACAACACAAATGTCAAGGAGTTGGAGAACCTTGAAAGGGATAGATCCAAGTCATCTGTATCTCTAAGGGAAGCCGAAAAGATCAGCCTCCAACCCTGGCCTAAAACCACTGAACTTTCATCCTGGAAGGGAAGTGTTGTTCATGAAGTTTGTGTTGCAAGTGGAGATCGAAACTATGAAGATTGGAAAGCATGGCTAGCTCCGTGTCTTGCAGATCAACCTGACTTGGAGGCGCTGGCCAAAGCTCCTGATGTGAGATTCCAATCCATTGATGCCAAGCTCTCCAATGCCTTGAGGAAAGTCATTGACAATGCTGGGGACAAGTCCATGCAAGTGAAGTATGACATGTCCATGAAGAACCAATTGTATGGGAGAAGTGGGGACTTCATCAAGGGACGAGAACTATTTGCAATGATATTGATTAGCTTCAAGTCACCTGACCACACTGAAGTTCTCTACAATGCCCATCATTTGTATATGTTCAACTACTATGGAGATGACCAACTTGAGGCCTTCTACAACAAGTGGCTTGACATCGTATACAATATGAAACATGATGATCTGCCTTCCAACAATTCCCTGCGTGACACATTGTTCCGGAAGATTGAACATTCAAAGCTTATGGCCTTCGATATCAACCGATACAAAACCTTTGATGAAGGGCATCCTGAGAAGACCTATGCTTACCTAACTGGTATGATCAAGGGATACATAGCACGAGGGAAGCAAGAACGACTGTTGAAAGATAGAGAACGTGCAGTGAAACTGTCATTGTCCTCTAACAAGACGACACCTGCCTTAGAAGATGCAGACAAGCCTGCCGCTCCCGTCAAGACCAAGAAGGAGAATGAAGCGGCCGCATCGTCTACAGGTGATCCTCCCAAACGTCCTAAGGCGAAAGCGAAGAGTGAAGCTGCATCGGTACTTCCTACACCTTCTCCGAAATCCCATGCCGACAAGAACAACAAGAAAGGCAAAGGTGGGAAGGGAAGATCATCTTCACCCGTTGACAAGAAGAAGATTTTCTGTAACTACTTCTTCAATAAAGGAGGATGCAACAAAGGTGACAAATGTCTTTACAGTCACTCTCAGAAGGTCTATGATGCCAAGATGAAAGGTAAGAAAGGCAGAAGCGGAAGTCGAGATTCATCAAGAGGGAAAGGTAGAGGAAGTTCATCTTCAGCTGGACCCAAAAAGAAGGTATGTTGGAATTGGCAAGAGGGTACCTGCAAGTTTGGAAGCAAGTGCAAATTCTTACATGCAGATCGATCGCCTTCAGCATCTTCAGAAAGGACCAGCAAGAAGACACCAAAGAAGAAAGCGACTCCCATTACCATTGATTCCTTCTTTGATAGCGACAATGAAGATTCTATGGATTATACCTCACCGAGGATAGCCAGTGCAAAGAAGTCTTCTGATGATCGCAGGATCTCATTTGATCTGGAACCTGAGGTGCACGAGATCGCCATTGAGGACTACCAGGAGGGACTACCCAAACGTATGTATCGTGACCCCAACAAG